ATATTCGAATAGGGTACACTTGATTGCGATATTGCCTGTAGTGGAATATATTTATGTTCGCAGTAAATGTGTGTGGTAGTGCAAATATTACGTTTCAAGCGATACTTATATTTAATTGTGAAGCCCTTCAGCATGTTCTGTAAACTGATTTGCATAAAATTTGTCAAGAAAAAAGAAACAAATGTGATTATGATTACATGTTTTGTTTATAGCTTCGATTTCAGAAACGTCAAACTAATCATAATCGTGATCGCACAAATTGAATGCAAAAACGATTTTTTTCAAAAACACAAAGAATATAATGATTTCAAAATAATACTTCAGCATGTATGTTTGAAAAAAGCTGTTTATAATTGGTCACAAGGTTTGGAAGCCATCTTGGATTCCTTCTATTTTTCGGTTGATTTGAAATCTTACTATGCTGCTATTTGCATATACGGTCAATACTTCTTCTAGGAAAAATAAAAATAATTAAAATTCGGTCGCATGGTTTGGGGGCCACCTTGAATTCCGAAAATAACTGATCCAAAATTGTTCTGACAGATAATTCTGAAATGTTGTAGTATCCATGGTCATTTTCTTTTGTGAAACATATAATATTTGTGATCAGTAGTGTGGATGGCCATTGGCTGAAGAAAATCCCCATTATGAGTTGAACAAAACCACGATTAATTATTGTTACCATGTTGTGGGTGTAAAGAAATTACAATTGTCTATGCCGTATCATTGCACTATCAGAATCCCGAATGACTATTGTTACTGGTAATGCCATTAGGCCGCCATCTTGGATTTTCTTAAGTACAATATATATGCATTCCTTTTTTTCAAATATTACATGGCTAGGTCACATGGTTTGGCGCTATTGGGGGTGGGGTGGGTCGTCTGATTGTATATCTCAATCACTTTCACAGGGAGAAAAAATCAATTTGTGCTGGTATGAAGACATTCAACAAAAGACGATTTTTTATGATCGTCTGAACACATTAATGTTCATAACTGACGTAACTGTTGCAAACCAGTATATGCTGCCAAAAACATTCTGAAGGCATTGAACATGAAACATAACAGAAAACCATATATGACTATATGACATCAGGTAAATAGAATAACAAGACACAATGTCAAAAGTTTATTTACCGTCATTTTAAGAAGTTTTAACAAGAGGATATGTCTTTAAAAGTGTTGTTTTTTAATCCATTTGAAATCATGAGCCTTGTATCAACGGTATATTCGAGGGAATGACACAGGTAGTAGAGAGCGATAATTGTAGAGGTCGATCTGCGAATTTATGAGACTTATATCTGCAATCATGGTACAACTTACATGCGCTATATATCACAGCAATTTAATGCTGATATGTATTATTCTATAGCTATTTATTATGAGTAGCCGGCACTGCGGTACAGACAAGTTTCCATCGGGAGACATGGATGTACTCCTCAGCTCAAGTGACACCAGTTAATTGTAGTGACAGCAACATAGCATGTAGTAATCGACGTTGGTGGCTTGTTTAATATTGGAGGTCATGTCAGAGCAGTATTTGATAATATAGCATCGATCAATCACGATTTATTTTTGAAAGGGAGGCTCTTGAAACAATTATTGTAGCCTCGGTGTTCAAAAATAATATTGTTACCCACACAACATCATTCATACGCAAGCGTGTGTGTGTAACATAGAAGTTGGGATTTGAAATGACATTGTAATTATGTAATTATTCACTGGGAAACTGCACACATGTTTGTGATAATAAATACATATTGATATGAACTAAAAATGAAGTAGTACCAATTCACGTATGATATTGTGATATTGTAAGCCGCAGTTTCATTGGACACATCAACCCAGATTACTGGATTTAGAACACAGTCACATTGTTCAGCGTTTACCGACCAGGATTTTATTTAAACTCTAGTTTCCAAATGGCAAATTACAATAATAACTGAGTAGCATTGTGGACAACTCTTCGATGCGTTTCAACGGCGTTTGAATATTCCATATCAACCTTGGAAGGGTTAGTCGTTTTTCACCAACCATTTACAGTCTGTTTGTCTCGGCCGACAAAGTGTATTTGATACATCGCAACGACTGGAGTGATATTTCGTGAAGTGACGAAGAAATTTGAGTGTTACCATCCTCACTGTAGCACTGTAATCTTCAAATAATTTGCACATTTTTTAATGTCACATCTTGATTTTGTGGCAGATAATTTCAAACATTCATTCTTAATTGGAAAGTCGTCTAATGCATTTCGATCACAATATATTGCGCGCATGCGCTGTGTTTGATGAAGGAAGATTTTAACAAGATAAATCTGAAGTACCAGGACAGGATGGTTCACTGGGATGAGGGAAAAGTAGTAAATGGAATGTCAATATCAAAAATTAGTTCAATGAATTGATACTATATACCCAGCATCTATAGCGACGTCATACCAAGATATACCAGACATTGTTCTCCAATCCATTCATGTTATCAGCAAATGTATCAGTACCGGATTCGTGGAAGTGATATATCAGAATTATAATAATTGAATCCTAGGCTTCTCTGAGACATAACATAGTTTTTTTCTTTACATGTATTACCTAATATATTCCTAGTATTGTTTAACGAAAATATAAATATAATCAAAAGCATTTGAACTACAATCATTCAAATGGAACCTGGGTTGGTCACAATGTTATGTTTCATTCCGTCGAATACGAAACTGGTACAATTGCTGATAGTATGGTTCAGAATCACGAATTGATTGAAGAACCACTTCTGGAAGAGAGACATCGTCACCTGGTGGATCATTGGTAGGCTTTAAAAAGCCAGAGCTTTCATTAAGGGTTTTAAACCAAACATGTGCTCCAAAAAATGAGTCTTGGAATGTACATGTGCCCCAGTGCACCATAGTCTCTTTATACTCAAGACCAACTTTGTTGCAATATTCATTCATGATTTCCTTAGGATTATTCAACAAATCATCAGCATCCACAACCACTGGATCTTGTCCAAGAATGTCTTTCACGTAGGTGTACAACTGCCACAATTCACGGAATCCGGATTCTTCTGAACGAAATCATGACCAATCATTAATCGATTCCTGAGCACAGGTATTCGTCACAATGAATTGGGATCGTAATGCTTTGGCTGGTTGTCGGATTAGGAAGGAATGTATATAATTATTTGGTAAACACTCCATACGTGGTATTATGTGATGGGCATGATCCTTGAAGAATACGGCCTTACTTCCAGGAAATTAGTCCTCAAGTTTTGCCTTCACGCTATCAAAAGTCAACCCCGGTCTATTCGGCTCATGGCTGTAACGTACAGTGTCAATGGTTCTGTCCTCATCGAAACAGGCAGCCTCTAGGAATGGCTCGTGGATCACAACAACATCATCCAAGGTGGAAACGGATCGCAAAAATGCGGTAGAAACACTACGATATGTTGCCCACAATGCAACCTTTACATTTCCGCCTATCATTTCGATTTTTGATTGAAAGGATTCCATCTCGCTAGTGCGTTTGTTCAAAACAGTGAATAATTCACTCTAATGTGCTTTCAGTGCTGCGGTTTGTTTAATATTCAAATATTATTTGTATCATCTATTTAGATAACAATAGACCGCCTTTCAGTGTTTTTATAGGGATGTGATGCTGCCTTAGAATGAGGGATGTGCAGTCAATATACTGGACTGTTTGTGATGAAAAGAGGGAACTGGTGGTGTTTAATATTCTTTACTAAAATAAAATGTAAAGTAATACGATTTTATACGATTTTGGGAAGTTCACCGTAATACTCCTCCTACTTGCCCTCCAGGCACCCCTATCTCTGCAGTAAACGTGCTCACCCCTTAATACCTAGTATTTGTAGAACGATACTGTACATAGTGATGGTAGTGTAAATATTACTTTTCAAACGACACGTATACTAATTTTGAACACCTTCAGCATGTTCTGTAAAATGATTTGCACAAAATTCGTATACCCGAATAGAATTGTAAAGAAAAAAGAAACAATTATGATTACATGTAAAAACATTGATCACAGGTATGAGA